CCGACGAGTCAGATACACCGAAACCGAACGACAACTTGTCAGGTATAATCATGGCGATGAAAGAGATCCGCCTTGAATTGGACGAGAGCAAGTTTGCCCAGATCATCATGGAGTTGGAAATTCTCCACCGGTGTATCTCGCCGTTCATCATTGATTTCTACGGCGCCTTCTTCCAAGAGGGCGCTGTTTATATCTGCGTCGAGTACATGGATGGCGGCTCGATTGACAAACTCTACAAGAACGGCATCCCCGAGAGTATCCTGCGAAAAATGACGTTGTCGACGGTCATGGGTCTAAAATCCCTCAAAGATGATCACAACATCATCCACCGCGACGTCAAGCCCACGAATATCCTCATCAACAGTCGGGGACAGATCAAGATCTGCGATTTCGGCGTCAGCGGAAACCTAGTTGCCAGCATTGCGAAGACCAACATCGGTTGTCAGAGCTACATGGCCCCCGAACGGATCGCGGGCGGGGGTGTGCAGCAGTCTGGATCGACCGGCGGCGGAACCTACAGCGTCCAGAGCGATGTTTGGAGCTTGGGCCTGTCCATTATTGAATGTGCCATCGGGCGCTACCCATACCCGCCGGAGACGTTCAACAACATCTTCAGCCAATTACACGTAAGTCGCGCTGTCATCCCATGACAAGCATCCTTTCTAACGTGATCTCTGATAGGCAATTGTCCATGGCGACCCTCCCACCCTTCCAGAATCAGGATACTCCGAGGATGCGCACGCATTTGTCCGCGCGTGCTTGGACAAGGTCCCCAGCAATCGTCCTTCGTATAGCACGCTGCTGCGACACCCCTGGCTTGCACCCCTCATGCAACCGCCTTCGGCCGATGACGGCGAATCGCAACCAGCGGCCGAACACCCGCCGTCGTCCGCCACCGAGGATGAGGAAGTGGCCATCTGGGTCAAAGAGCAACTGGCGCAGCGCGGGGAGTCACCCGGGGCCGACGACAAGCCCGCTCTGCATGCCGTGGCGCTAGACGCCGTCCCCGGCAGCCCTTTTCTCGACGACCCTTCTACCATGAGCTTGCCCGCCTGATCCGATCACCCTTATCTGTGCTCATCAACTTATCTCCGACCCCTTCCACATCCACCTAGATAAACCTACTTCTTGCATCTTTTGCGCAGCTCCCAGTAGGAACTGCACTTGATACCGGACCACTGAAAAGCTCCGGCGCGGGTACCTCTACGCCTGGTGATAAGGCGATGAAGGACACTTCGATGCGTCCGAGCTGGAAGTGTTCGAGTGTTGACCCATTAGCACATTTTTCATTCTCTTTCCCTCCCATCCCCTTTCTCTCCTCTTTGGAATTCTCCTTGATTTGTGGGATCCCCCTTTACCCTTTTCCTTTGAGACCTCAGGATCTAAACAGACTTGACGTGACTGATATACCGTCATATGTTCGATATGTATAACGACTGTGAAGACGTGAGACATGGTATCTGCAATGACTTTTTCTTTTCTTTTCATTCTGGGGGATATTGGCCACAAGTCCGTCACATTGCAGAGAATGAAGTGTGTATTTAGCATAAACAATCCTAGAATTCCTACATTTATTCCCTCTATACTCCGTATATCGTAGAGCAGTCGCCGATCAAAGGCCGAGATTGGTAAGCCGTGCTGAGCAAGCACGTCACGTGGTCTTTGGCGATGATGACATCGCAGGAGAATTTTGGCTGATTTCGGTCTGAAGACTAAACAATAAAAGACCAGAGTCGCCGTGCATTGCATAATTGTTGTTGGCCGCAGGGATCCGGTCTGATCTTGAGCCCCGTCAATTGGTCCATCCGCCCTCACCCTCGTGTTCTCCTGCTGCTGTCATTCGGGGATTCGCCTCCATCGCTCCGCCAAACACCGAAAGAAGCTTCGCCGCTTTCCCTTCCCCGCCAGCTTACCCATCCGTTTCTTATCCTGTCCACTCCTCGCTTCCTTTTTTTCTTCCTCCCCCCTCCTTCTACCCCTCCATTTAATCTCCATGCTCCCTCGCTCTTCTCTCCGTTCCCTTTCTGCCCAGGCTTCTAGGACCCGGCTTCTACAACGCCCTTCTGTTCGCCAATCCTCAATTCCTTCGTCGCTCTCTGTGACCGGACACAAGAGCATTGCAACCATTGCGCACCGAAACGCTGCGATTACCCCCTCCAACCGAGTCGCTCTGGCTACTCCCACATCTCGTCTCGCCTCCCTCTCCCGACACTTCTCGTCCACCTCGTCTGTGGCCGACGCAAGCAACATGGCTCCCATTGAGACGCATCAGTATGACTACATTGTTCTAGGCGGTGGTAGCGGAGGTAGTGGTAGCGGACGGAGAGCTGCCGGCTGGTACGGAGCGAAGACATTGATTGTCGAGAGCGGTCGCTCCGGCGGTACCTGCGTCAACGTCGGGTATGGTCCTTGGGCCTTGTGTTTTTGGGAGAGTTCGCTAACAGTAAATGGAATAGATGTGTTCCCAAGAAGATGACCTGGAACTTCGCCTCCATCAACGAGACCCTCCACGTTGGACGGGACTACGGATACGACATCCCCAAGGACGTGAACATCAACTACAAGCATTTCAAGGATATCCGGGACTCCACCATCACGCGCCTGAACGGCGCCTACGAGCGGAACTGGGGCCGCGAGGGCATCGATCTGGTGCACGGCCGGGCCGGGTTCGTGGAGCCCAAGACCATCGAGGTGGCTCTGGAGGATGGCACCAAGGCCCGGTACACGGCGCCTCATATCCTGATCGCGACCGGTGGACGGCCCACCATCCCTGACGTCAAGGGCGCCGAGCACGGCATTACCAGCGACGGATTCTTTGAGATTGAGGACCTGCCGCCGAAGATCGCCGTCGTGGGAGCCGGATACATCGCTGTCGAGCTGGCGGGCGTGATGGGCGCCGTGGGCGTCGAGACGCACATGTTCATCCGGGGCCAGGAGTTCCTGCGCAAGTTCGACCCCATGATCCAGAAGACCATGACGGAGCGGTACGAGGCCTCCGGCATCCAGCTCCACAAGAACCACGGCGGTTTCAAGGAGATCCAGCTCCTCCGGGACGGCAAGGGCAAGGATAAGTTGCTCCGACTGGTGAACCACGACGGATCCTCGATCGAGGTCAACGAGCTGCTGTGGGCCATTGGTCGTCTGCCTGAGGTCGAGGACCTGCACCTGGACGTTCCCGGCGTGAAACTGAACAACAGCGGATACGTCACCGTCGACGACTACCAGAACACCTCGGTGGACGGTATCTACGCTCTGGGTGACGTCACCGGCCACGCCGAATTGACTCCTGGTGCGTTCCCCCCTTACTACAACCGAATCATCCTCTCCGATCGCTAGTACTACTCATAAATTCAAGCCGTGCAAAGCTGACTGACTGATTCATAGTGGCCATCGCCGCCGGCCGCCAGCTCGGCAACCGCCTCTTCGGCCCCCCCGAACTCAAGGACTCGAAACTCTCCTACGAGAACATCCCCACGGTTGTCTTCGCCCACCCAGAAGTCGGCACCGTCGGTCTCACCGAGCCCGAGGCCCGCGAGCGCTACGGCGACGACCAGATCAAGATCTACAAGACCCGGTTCACGGCCATGTACTACGACGTGATGCCGGCTGAGGAGAAGAAGAAGAACCCGACCGAGTTCAAGCTGATCTGCGCCGGTCCCGAGGAGAAGGTCGTCGGTCTGCATATCCTGGGTCTGGGCGTTGGTGAGATGTTGCAGGGTTTCGGTGTTGCTGTGAAGATGGGCGCGACGAAGAAGGATTTCGATAGCTGCGTGGCTATTCATCCGACTAGTGCGGAGGAGTTGGTTACGTTGCGGTGATTAGATTAGGTAGAGATGTGTATATTGTCTGAAGTTAATCAATCCTGTTGATATTCTTGCTCATAATGGAAGTAAACTATAGATGTGTAGCATTTAGTGTTTTAACTACACTGGACGCTTGATTTATGTAGAAGGCAAAGTCCCCCGGGATGCGAAATAGAACGCGCTATAATTCTTAAAGAAAATCCGATGTAGACCGTCGTCCTTGATGTTCTCGCTATTCTAAAACATCTTGCAAGTTAATAACCCTTACCGAAGAGCTATGGATATTTCTCTTCCAATACCTGAGGCATGAACAATCAAATTCGAAACAGCAAATATCTCTTCTTCCCAAATAAACGTACGACCTTATTCATCTGCTTAGTTGGTCCAGTGATACTGTATTCATGCGAGTCAGTTATATATGGGTTGGTTCTTTTCTACCTGTCTGTCTGTCTGTCTATTTCCTGTTCTTCGATTTGATTGTTCGGTGAGGTGTCATTCAGATTTTGGTTTGGTTGTTTTCTGGCTGATGAGGTGGTGAGGGTGTTGGCTCTTTCTTTCGTTGTAGACATTTGAACTGTTATTCATGGATGATGATGTTTACCTATGGTGCTAGGAGTCTGTATTTAGGGGGATTGGTTAACTTGAAAAGCAAATTGAAGTATAATTGTTTAGTGAGATAAGAAGATTAAAGTCAGTAGTTGGAAATTGAGAGTATGATTAGAAGAGGCGATGACCCAAACTTAAAGAATCATCCCAGATATAGTAATTTTGCTCTCTACCTACTATAGGTAGAGAGTAGTGCAGATAGAAAGAAGATCTAGCAATGTGCAATATAAGTAATCAGATCTGTCTATTATCTCCTCGGAAAAGCTCGGAATTTCTCACTGATTTCGAGCAACGAGGCCGAGGAAAAAAAAAAAAAAAAAAAAAAGCACACGGACGGTCAGGCAGCGAGAAACTCTCAAGGTCCTCTTGGAAGTAAAAATTCTTATAGATGGGGCTGCCAAGAGTATGTGGCAAGTTGTTCTCATACTACCTTCAAATCTTCCTAGCTTCCTGGTCTGTCGTGTACAAAACAATTAACTATTCATATAAATTGACTAGGATCAAAAGAATCCATTCCGGGAACGCCGTAACTTCATAGCACCGATCGGTCATGCAAAAAGTCATTTCTTTCGTGATTTCATCCGTTCAGCCCTACGAGGCGCTTCCCCACAGCTTCTTCTGCCAAGCCGGCATCCACTTCCGATCTATCCGTCGGCGATTCGTGTCTGCCTTCTCCCTACGCGGTGAACCACATTGTTCTGGGCTGTTAACCATATCGTCAGTCTAGATGATTGAGGAGTCTGAACGTACAGCTCGTAGACCACGGAGGGTGTGCGTCTCCAGACTGATATACCGTGGTGGAGGGCGGAGAGGACGAGAGGGAGGAGAAGAAGGGTGAGGAGGGTAGGCGAGAGTCTAATTACACCGCAATTGAACTGATTAGTTGGGGCCGTTGCGGTGGAGGAAAGGATCATCGTACCGAGTAGGGAGGATGGAGATGTCGGTCGAGAGGTGGGTTTGTGTGAGAATGTTCTCTCCTAGGCCCATCTCGCTGTATGTATGTATTCTGTAGGTATGTAGGAGTGGAAGAGTTGCCCTAGCTCAAGCCTCCTACTGTATAGGTGTATAGCAACGACGTGTTCGTGATGATATCACTGAATCTGTCTGAATGACACTTGTACATCTGTGCTCCCTTTTAAATGTAACCATCCTTTACCGATTCCAGCCAAGGCGTGAATCCTGCTGCCTGGGGTCGTGATTGTGACTGACGGACTTCGGCTTCACATGAACCAAACATGCTGCCGCTGGTGGAACCGGCTTGGCTTGGTTGACCTAATAAAATTGGTCATGGTAGGTCCGTCATGTCTGGGGGTCTTGTCCTATGGGTCTTTTTTCTCTCTTTTCTGCTCTCTGTTTGGTCTCTCCGCCGTCGCGTTTCATTTCCACGTCGTGGACTTGCTTTTCTGGGTTAGGCGTTTTCAGCCCTATGAGGGCCTTTTCGCTTTTATTTTCAGGGGATGGGATGCGTGATGTTGGGTTGGCGTTCTTGGTCTTTTCTTTCTTTTCTTTCTTTTCTTTCTTTTCTTTCTTTTCCCTTTTCTGCTTCTGTCCCTGTCCTTTTATCATCACATCTCCTTGCATAGGTACCTGATTTCTGTCAGCTCGTCCAGTACACTTAGGATTTGATTTCATTCTCAATGACCCAACTAGGGTTCTCATCCTCGCATATGAAATACTCTGAATCCGATCTTGGATTCCACTATACCCCTGTCAGATCACTATCATGGGCTGAACGGATTCCGCTTCGATATTGTGACTATTCCCGCCTGTGATTTTATCTGCTTGCCTGTTCAGTGTCAGCACTACGTTCGCTATTTGCCATCTTGTCTTCCTCGATCGATGTGAAAGACAACAGTAACACTCGCTTCACCGCAAATATACCCAGAGTACACAAATACGGGGGGGGGGGGGGGGGGGGGGGGGGGGGGGGGGGGGGGGGGGGGGGGGGGGGGGGGGGGGGGGGGGGGGGGGGGG